TGCCTGCGCTGCCATCTCCCAATTTCAGATCTTATTTTAATTCCCGGCTTCTATTTTAACTAAGATTTTCCCTGCTTATTAAAAGAGTAATTAAAAAGAAATTATCTTTGGGAATAAAAAGTAAACAATACCTTTGCCAGGTTCAAGCCAAGCACTGGATTTCAGCTATGAGAGCTCTCACTCTTAACCAGCTGGACTGGGCACAGGAAACAAGCCCAGCGAAGCGCACGCCCCCAGCAGCCGCCCGGCCCGCCTCTGCGTTGGCTCTGGCGGGCTGCATGCTCGCGGGGACCCAGGCTCGGCCGGGTCCCGCCGCTGCCGGGGACAGCCTGGCCTGACCCCGTGGTGGAGGAGGCCTGCAGTCCGGGCCTTCAGAGGAAGAACGTTCTGAAGATGTAACATAGCACTGATTTCTACAATGCCCCAAAGAAGGGAGACAGAGGGCCTCTAAGGGAGAAAAGACCTGTTCAGGGGCCACAGGGATCACCTTGATTTACACAAATAGGTGTTGGTCACAGAAAATGCTGTGACCTTAAATAATGATGTGTGGATGTATTTGCACACTCTTTCATTTTCATATTTTTGTACAAAAAATTAAAAATTTCTTGGTGTCAAAAAAGGTTTATGAGGAAGTAACGTGGGGACCAGCCACACCAGGTCAATCCACCTGGAGGAGCGATTCCAGATGGCTCCTCGGGCCCTGTGCGCTGTGGCCCACGGCCCCATGATTGGGCACGTCACTCTCCAACAGAAGTGTACCGACGAAAGGCGAATAAGGAGGGAGACCTTGTCACAGGCAACTCACCACCGTGTATTTCCGAGAGCAGAAGTTTAAATCCATTGGCCTAGAAGAGACATATGTCAGAAGGCACGTTCTTGCCCATCCTTAGTCATTACTATATCTTAGAAAACCAAAGTCCCACCGCACAGCTGGGACTCCGGGCGCCAGCACAGAGCACTGGAGTTCAGACGGCAGCGAAGGCTGGCTCCCCACGGCTGCCGCTCCGGGCGGTTTGCAGCCATGGAGGCTCAGGGGCGTGCGAACAGGGACGTGCGCTGCAAGCGATGCTTTACAGCCGGGGCTCGGGGTGCCTAGCTCGGCGCACAGCTCTGCAGCCTTTGGGAGCCACAGAGGAAGCGTGCTTTCTCCGTCCCTGCAATGGCTTCTCCATTCTCGGAAAGCATCGGTGGCCAAGAAGAGAGCTCATTTTTGTAAACTCCCAAAATGGCACAAAGGGTATGAATTTTCACCATGTTTTTAACATGCAAAAGCTTGTCACATCCCAGTTGGAGAATTTAAAAAATGCATCTTTTACTTTTCATTAAATAACTTACAGTTCAAATGCATGATTTGCACAACAGAAAACTTACAGGAGTCAACAATCAACTTATTTAAACAAGTTCACTAGGCAAGGATCACATATTTCTTGGTATCAATGTCAGGCGTACAATCTCTACAGAAAGTTATATAGCTATTTCTGACAACAAGTAACCTTTATATTTTTCAGTAATCATATTCCTGAAAAGTTATGTGTAAGCGGAATGTTTATTGCATTAGAGTCTGCTTAAAGAAAGCTTACTGTATTATTATGTTGCAAAGTAAAGAATACTCATGACTAAAAAAATCACTTAATTAGTAAAATTTTAGGTAATCATGTATAGGTTAATTTACAGAAAATCTGAAATCTGCCTTAAAAAATGATTAGCTCTCATCTGATGTTCTATTTTAAATCTATGACATTTTCAAACAAAATTATTAAGATATTAAGTGTCTTAATTAGGCAACTAAAATCCATTCACCTTCACTGTGAAATCAGTTATCATAGAAAATAGAACATGGCACAATACTCCCTCAGAAGAGCTCTAAAACATCAGAAGACCCTCTGAAATAAAGCTGGAATGCAAGGTAAAAACCCATTTGATTGTCTCAAAATCATGACTAAGAAGCCAAAACAATGTCAGTTAAAGAAAACAAAAACAAAATAAAACAAAGTTCCCTGGCTCCCCCCACCCACTTAGAACCCCCTGCGCCCATGCGCTCGGGCTGCCAGCCCGGCCTGCAGCCGCGGCCCCTGGGTCTCCATTTCTCCTGCTTTTCCCACGGGCTTCGGTTACTCTGGCTAAGTAACCTTTACTTGCTCCGTCTCCAAATCTTAACTATTCCGTATGCTATCCTCATACGCGGAGCAGCCTCACACTCCACAGCTAATCCACCTTCCTCCTTACACAATCTCGCAGACTCGACTCTTGCACAGGAAAGCCTGTTACAGGCGTGCGGCCCACGGATGTGACTCCGGCTGGGCAAGGCCAGCAAGGGCCATAAACAGTCTCCACGACGGCTCTTCGCCCTTGAAATGCTAAGGGTGTCAGGGAAGTTAAATGATGTTGAAGACACTCTATATGCTCAAATCAAGTAATGGATAAATAGGCTTATTTCCACAAGCCATCTTTAAAAACGATTTTAAAAAAATTAGCATCACTTCCTTGCGTCCAGCAAGAATAAGGTGACATTCAGGACCTCACAGCCGTCACTGGGAGCTGAGGAAGCAACGCCAACACCCCATCCTCGCCAGTGCTGTACAAATTTCACCTTCCATTTCTTTTCACCCGAAAGGTGCCCTCTCTGAGGAAAAACTGCCCCATCCAGCCCTGACCCCCCCGCCCCCCGCCCCCGCTGGGTTTGGAGCCAGATGACAGGATTTGGAAAAGCAGCAATCTACCTCAGGGAAGCCAGCGGCTGAACCCGGAGGTGGTGGTGGTGAGAGACGCTGTCATTCACAGTTTCCCGTGTTCCCCCATGGCTTGTTTTTTGTCACTGAGAGTCAAAAGCAACAGTTCACCCCAGTTCCCTTCATAATCAGCCCTCTAATGCAACTATTTGTTCCAAAATTCCTGAGCCAACTCAATATAAACATGTTACAAAATAATCTTTGTGAAAGTGCTAAAACATAGGCCACTTTAAAAAGAACAATAATAAACACTGTAAGGAGGAAAATCTAAAATCAACATTTACACATACCCCAGGTCACGCCTAAAATATTTAAATGCCAGAATCCAAATGAAATAGGATTAAGCCTTACGACGGCTTCGGTGCCGACCTCATTTAGCTTCCTGCCTTCCCAGTGCGACCGAGGCTCCGGTCAACGAGCCCCCCGCGGGCCACGGAGGCCCGGGGTCAGGCTGGAAAGGCGTCCCGCGCGGGCCCTCACTGTCTGCGTCACACCTGGGACCGCGGTCCGCTCCGCTCGGTAAAGGGGTGCCAACCTGAGCCAATTACTGTGTCACCGTTCAAGTATAATTTACCTTAACCAATAATTGTACTGTTACCACTTTCTAAGCTATTGATTCCTCATTATCCAACTTGTGAAAAGAAAATGGATTCTAAGAACCTCTGTTCTTATGGAAATACACATATTAAGAACTTTCTGCAGAAAAAACAAACTTTCAGTATAGGTAAGTAAAGTCATCATTTATCAGGCTGCCGTCTTCTGCAAACGGCTACAACGAAATTAATTTGGGTAATATAACCGGGTCGGTCATTTTGAAAACCTCATTTTGCATCCTTTTCCCCAACAAAGCTTCCGGGGGCCGCGCTGAAAGGCGTCAGAGACCTTCACCACCTGCGTGGTCTGAAATGATGTCAGTGTCGTCAAGGTGCCCTCTGCCCACCGAGGTCAGCGGGCCTGGGGCCGGGCTCCATCCCTCGTCCCCTCTCCCCGCGCTGAAGGCAGCCGGGACTCGCGCGTCTGGATGTCAGCTCCCCTGCGCAGTTCGAACCCGCCAACACTGTCCTCTGAGGTCACTCGGGCTACGTTTCCAGTGTCCCAACCATCCCCACAGCGACTCAATCCTGAATGCAGGGAATAATTCGCACAAAATAAGCCCGCGCAGGGCCCATGACGGCCAGAGGCGTAGCAGCTCCACACAGGGATCACCTGAACTGACCACCCGCAGCCGCCGAAGCACAGCGACCTGAACACTGGACACAGGAGAAAACCCGAACGTCGGCAACACAATGGATTAGACCAGCGAGACGCCTCCAACTTGCAACTCCTTCAAGACGCTCGAGCCGGACCTCCACGGAGCACCATTTTGAGCTCACAATCTGCAGTTCATGCCTAGAAATAACCGAGCACAGCAAATGGAGGTTCCACCCGACAGAGGCAAAGGGTCGCGGCAACGCGCTCGGTTCGCGCAGAACCGCGGACGCCTCCGAGGGCCCGAAACCGCAAGCGGTGCAGCAGCTCTGCGGCTCCTCCCCCGCCCGCGACTCGGAGGCGGCGAGCCTGCATCTTCGGTCCGATTCCCCAAGCTCCGCGCAACCGCGAGCGAACTGTCTCCCCCCCGGTGACCGCGGGGAGCCCCTCAATTCGCATCTGCACGTTTTAGTGGCTACGAATCAATCAATTAAATCTCATCCGCAAGGTAAAGGTGCCGAGGTGGCGCCGAGGCGCTCGGGTTACGCGATCTGATAGCAGGGCAGCTGTGATGTGGCGCGGCTCCCCTCCTCGAGCGCATCGCTCCGCAGCCTGCGACGCCGCTGGCAGCCCACCTAACTCCAGGCCCGCACCAGGCCGAGGCCCGGCCGCCCGCCCCCAGAGCACGCCCCGGGGCTGCGCTTCCCCCGAACAACGGCGCGGGAGGCCCTACCCCGAAAACATTCGCGTTTCTGCATGCCATCACAAATGCAAAGCCCGCGGGTGACCGTTCGGGGAGAGCCCGCTTCCACCAAGCGCATCAGTTTATAAACACCACAACTGATGTGTCACCGTCGCGATCCCGCCAGGTCCCCCGCACACCGGGCCCAGGGAACCTCTCTATGCCCGCGCGCGCGCGCGCGCGCACACGACCCCGCGCCGCGGGCAGCGCCTCCCGCCGCCCCGCGCTGCGCACCCCTTCCCGCCGGGACCTGCGACCCCTCGCGCTCCGGGCCCGGCCGAACAAAGGCGACGCCGTCAGCTCGGTCAGCTGCGGCTCTTCGGAGCCCGGCCCGCGCTCACCTGGGCTCCGTCCCCGGCGGCGGCGGCGGCGGCTCCTCGGCGGGGCTCCGGCGGCGCGGGCCTGGCGGCGGCGGCGGCGACAACAACCCAGGCGGCCGCCCTGAGGCCTGCGGGGCGCTCGAGCGGCGGGGGCCCGCTCAGCGCCGGCGCCGCGGGCTCAGGTCCCGGCGCGGGCGGCGGCGGCGGCGGCGGCGGCGGCGCAGGCGGGTGGGCGGTGGCGCGTCCCGGCAGGTCCAGGTCCGGCCCCGGCGACGCCGCGACGCGCCCTCCTCCTCGCGCCCGCGGGCGGGACGGTGGCTCCGGTGCGGCCCGGGATCCCAGGCAGCGGCGGGGCTCGGAGCTCGGCGCTCGGCCGGCTGCGCTCCGTCCGCCTCCGGCTCGGGCTGGCCCGCGGCGGCGGCGGCAGGAGCGCGGCGGGGGCGCGGAGGGCCCTGTCAGGGGCGGCGGGGGTGGCCGGGGTGGTGCTCAGGGCTGCGGAGCGGCGGGGCCGGCGGCGGTGGCTGCGGCTCCCGAGGCCGTCGCGCTGAGGTGCGGAGCTGCCACCGCGGCCATCTTGTTGCTCTAACTGACAAGAACCCCCCTCCCCCAGCTCCAGCCAGACGGGGCGCTCGCGCCCCCTTCCCCGCCCCGCGCTGGCCTCCAACAGGAAGTCGTCCCGGCCCCTGGCACGTGACTGTACCGTATCTGCATACCGGAGGCCAACTGGCCAATAGACGCTCTATACCCCAGCTGCGCCCCTCCCCGGCTCATTGGCTGGTCTCCGCCAGGCCACGCCCCCTCCATCCCCCTTAATACCCTCCCGTGCGGTGGTTCCCTAGATCTCTCGGGGAGCGCGCGGGGGTGCGAGTGACTGGGTGCGCGCTCTGCTTCCCCGGGCGCGTGCGGATCCCGAGGTCTCGTGCTCCGTCTCGGATACGTGGAGAGTCGTTCACCTTCCCAGTCTTTTGGTGCAGCGACTCAGTGTTAACGCGCTGAACCGCGGGGCGCGGATGCGGCCCTGCGCGTCCGCTAGGTTCCCCAGGCCAGCGTGCCGCGGCGCCGGGGCCTGGGTTTTGTGCGGAATTTTCACCCTGCGCGGGTACTGGCGCGCGTCCCGCCCGTGCCGTGCACACGCCCTGCATCTACAGTGCGCACACACGTACACGCGCCTGCTGGGGCCTGGGAGCATCCTGCTGGCCGCGCGCCTCCCAGCCGGCCCGTGCGCGCCGCCGCTCCCGCGGGAGCCCCCGGCTGCGAGCCAAACAAGCCTCGCCTTGAAACGGCCGCCCGGGGAGACATCCCTTTCCCCGGAGTGCGAACACCCGCCTCCACCCGGCAAGCGGACGTCCGGGCCGAACCCCGGCGCTCCGGCTTCCACACCACACTGTTGCTTTCCGGCGCTCGACACAGGTCGTGGTCCTCCATTCCGCCGCTCCTCTTCCAAATACACTAGTTATTAATCTCAGGTAAGGTCTGGAGCGATGTGCAATTTAAACGTCCCTTTTTAACTTTCGGTTGAAGTCACGGGAAGAATTGTCTCCATTTTCATGAAGAGCCGTGGAAACAGACCGGCACCCTTGGTGCAGTGGAGGCTTAGCGGCGATACTTGAAAGTTGTTGGTGTTGGAGGAGACCATTCTTGTCTACGTGTCCCCATCTCGAAGAGAAGGGATAAATGACGCACTGCTTCCGCAATACAAATTTTGTAACCGCAAGTGTTATGCTCTGAGACATCTGTAGATGAAAGGGGCACAACAGAGTCCCCACTCTCATTTCCCTCGAAGGACCCCAGGAGCCCGGCGCACTCCTTTATTCTACTGCCCTGTTTTAAGCCCGCCGTAGTCAGAGTCACAGCCCACTCTCCAACGTCCTCTTCAAATGTCCGGCATGACAAGGTCCACGGCTGGGTTAAGCAGAAAGACAGGGCTATCACAACGCTGTTTCCATGGATGTCGCAGAATAATAGGTTATGGCCTATTATTGGGTACAAAGGTTAAATTAGCTCCACGGTTCTCAAAGTGTGCTCCCTGGGAGCTTATTAGAAATGCAGCTTCTTGGGTCCCGAATTGCCAGGTCTGCCGAATGGAAACTCGGGGGGCGGGGCCCAGGTACATTCCTCTTAACGAGCCCACCAGGTAATTTTGACACACACACAAATTTGAAAATAAAGCAATAACGAAGGGCACCTCTCCTAAGGGCTCTGTCGGGATCCTCGCCGCCCCTCCATCCCAGCCACTTCTTACCACAGGGGGCTGCTTTGCCTCCTCCTCAAGCCCCCACTTCCCTCCTACTATCTGTTGATTCTGCCAGTATAATTTGCATCCTAATGGTGGACTCTAAAAGGAAAAGTTTCAGGACTCAAACAAAAGACTGCTTTTCAATGAAAATGTAATGGATCTTGGCCTGTTTCCCTACTTGTCACCCACAGATAGCAACTGACTTGACCTTTAAAAATGTGATAAGCTTAAAAGGCCTTTCAGACAGGCATAACAGCAGAGGCCAATGGTTCTCAAACTCTGTTCCTAAGAACCACCAAGGCAGCTTGTTCAAAATACGGATTGATCCAGGTCCAGGGCGAGGCTGAAAAGCTGCAACGCTTCACCAGAACCTTCAAATACGGCCAGGCTGAATCCCAACGCCTACACTCACCAGCTGTTTGATCTCAGGCAATTTCTGGGCCTCAGGCCTCTCCTTTGGACTCCTCGCTGGGCTAGAGATTTTCATGAAATAATCACCAAACCTGTATCATGCGCCAGCTAGCAGCCTAGGTGCTGGAGATGGAAGGCGGAAAGCCATGGCTGACTTAAAACACATAGTAACATAGGAGGTGCTGAAGAGGGCAGGAGGAACCTCTGATCCGAGCGTTGAAGGATGCGAGGGGACCACTGGTCAAAAGCCGATGGACGAGTGTCAGAGGCAGAGGGCAAAGCCAGTGCAAAGGAGATGAGAGAGCAGCATAGGCTTTCAGGGGCTTCAAAGTATCCATCTGGTCAGAGCGCTTGTGCAAGGAGGGGGAGGGGAAGGAATGGGAGGGCGAGCAGGGGCCCGGTTACAGGAGCGGCAGCGAGCTCCTGCCACGCGGAAGAGTTCGTTCTTTACCATGAAGGCAATGCAGAGCCCTTGAGTGATTCTGAACCGTGGCTGCCCGTGAGATCTGTCTGGAAACGTGTAAAGGATGACACAGAGAAGAGGGCAAGGCTGAGATGGGGGGGGGCGGGGCGGCGGTGGGTGCTGGCACAGGTGGGAAGCCTACAAAGTCAAACAGCCAAGGAATGAGAACCTGTGGAAGGGACGAGTGTGGCAGTAGAGGTCAAACGGAGAGGGCCTGTTTGAAAAAGAATGTTAACTCCAGGGGACTTGGGGACTGACAGCATGGTACGGGAGGTGATGAAGAACGGCGCCCAGTTTCCTGGCTCCGTGAGAGGTGTGCGGATGGTGAGGCAGGGCCACAGGAGGAGGAGGTTCAGCCAGAGGCCTCAGGTAGGATTCTGGGGGGAGAAGACATGAGTCTGGTTGGGTACATTTGGAGTTGGAGGTGCCAGGGGGACAGACAGTGGTGATGGTCAGATCTGGAAGTCAGGAGAGATGTCTGTGCCAGAGAAAACGATCAGGGTTTGTCTCTGTGGGGGTGGACGCTGAAGGCAGGGGCGTAGATGAGCAGCCGAGGCGTGGGTCAGGAGGGTGGGGAAGGGGAGGACTGAGCCCGAGGCGCACCAAGGAGGAGGAGAAGCCTGCCGGAGTGGGAGAGGGCGCCGCGGAACCCCAGGGGACGCCCCAGCAGTGGGGAGGCCAAGAGGGAAGTAGCTGGAGGAACAGCGCGACAGTGAGGTCCGCGTGACAAGGACAGGAACGCATCCACCGAACTGGGCCACCACAGGGTCATTTGGTCCTCAGCAAGGGCATGCAGGAGCCTGGGGGTGGGGGAAGAGGAGGTAGCAGGCTGCAGAGTGGAGGGAGTAAAGATGGGGGGCGGGTAGGGACAGGGAGGAACCACGGTTTTTTAAAGTTTAAGTTGAATTGTGCCCCCCTGAGTATTTTCTATCGTCCTGACCCCAAGTGCCTCAGAATGTACCTCATTTGGAAACCTGACTTGGCAGATAGTCAAGTTAAGGTGAGGTCATTAGGGTGGTCCTCCTCCAGTGTGACCAGTGTCCTTACGAAAGGGGAAATTTGGACACAGACATGCACACTGAGAGGCTGCCACGTGACGATGAAGGCAGAGATTGGGGTGATGAATCTACAAGCCCAGGAACCCCAAAGGCTGCCGGCAACCCCCAGAAGCTGGGGGAGAAGCCTGGGACAGAGGCTCCTCGCAGCCACAGAAGGAGCTGACCCTGCCGTCACCTTGCTCGCGGACTTCTGGCCTCCCGACCTGGAGACAGTTTCTGTTGCGTAAGCCGCCCACTGTGTGGCACTTTGTTACTGCAGCCACAGGAAACCAACACAGCCATGAAAGGGGGGTGGGGGCGGGGCATGACTAGGGAGAAATGTGAGACCAAGAAAGTGGTTTTTCATTGTTTTGTTTTGCTTTTTTAGAGGGAGAGACATCGGCGTGTTAATATGCTGAGAAGAAAGAGTCGGTTAGTAAAGAGGACGCAACTAAGAGGAAGAAGTTTTTCTGTTTGAAGAGGCTGAGTGTGGAGCAAGACAGGCCTTTACACAGACAGGGCTGGGGGTGCTCTGTGTCCCGGGGCTGTGAGGGGTCCCTCCTGTCGCTGAGACCAGAGGGAGGCATGGAGCTAGCTGCAGAGGCAGTAAGTCTGTGTGTGTGTGTGTGTGAGAGAGAGAGAGCGAGAGAGAGAGAGAGAGAGAGAGAGAGACTGGGGGGAGGTTTGCAAAAAATGAAGGATGTTACCACTCTTTTTTTTTTTTTTTTTAATGATGTTGTAAGCAGCCTAAGATTCCTTCTGGGTCTAAAATTCTGTTTCTACATCTTTTGCAACTCAACACCTATTTGAATGCAAATGATTATTATATTCTCTAATAGTAGTATTGCCTTTTAAATTTATTGTCTGAGGTGTATTAAACCTAATAGGAAAACATACTCCTTGTGTTTTTGCCTGCTATTGAGATGCGTGTCATCCCCCAAACTATGCGGGACCACAGAGCCAAACATTTCACTTGCCTTGGTTTCTTAGGGTCTGAATTCAGAAAGTGGCGTTGTGGGTGTCTTGGAGGTGAGCCTTGGTCAGCACACATGGGCACTTCAAAACACCCTCTTTCTATGGCGTCTATTCCTACCAGACGGGTTGAAAACCTGTGCCAGGTCACCTGGGCACCGACGGTAAGATGACTGATGGAGTCAAAATGAGGGTGTCATCTGTCCAGGGGCTCAGGTATTTCAAACAGCCCCATTTAGCAGGGTCCTGTGATACTGGGCAGATGGCTTTGGGGCACTGCTGCTTCTTTGGCAGGTCCAGTTCTGCCAAATTGGCAACCCGGTGCACCAGGGAGGGGATAAGGTGGTTCAGGCGGCAGGGTTTCACTGCGCGGGGGGGCGGGGGTTGAAGGAACAAGGATCCATCACAGGCTCTTCCCCAGCTGGGCTTCTCTGTGGCTCAAATCTGCTTATCGATCTGATGA